AGTGGATTTATGTGTCACAGTCATTACAGCCTGCCTGCTAGTATGTTTTCCACAAAACTGTTAGACAAAAACAACAACAACAACAAGGTCATGCATGGCTTTAAAGAAAAGCACAAAGTAGTCTGGGCCAACAGATTTAGGATTTATTGCTTAATTTCAAGAGTTTCGGGAAACGCTTTCATAGATGACTCATACTGTCCAGCTTTTTTTCCATTATCTTGAGAAGAGAGGAGAGCTACGTGACACTTTCACAAGATGTTTGATCTTTTCAGGGAGCATGTGTGCATTTGCAGTCTCATTTTAAGCAAACACGTTGGTATTTCTTTGTAGAATCCTGGGCTACACTCCTGACCTGGACGAGGAAGTCATAAATGATGCTTTCTACAGAGCCTTTAAAGTGTGGAGTGATGTCACGCCGCTTTCTTTTACTCGCATCATGGATGGAGAAGCTGACATCATGGTTAATTTTGGCCGCAATGGTATGCTACGTTTCTGAATGTCAATTATGTTTAAGAATCCTAACATACAGCATTGATTTTTGTCTCCCTCCCTGAAGCACCTCCCTATCCAGAAAACAGTTGAGCAAAAGTTCAGATGTCTACAGGTTGTTTGCAAAGGACCAATAACACAAAAGTTTTTATGGCGACTCTGCACATGACCATCCTATATTTAAGGAGCACATAATAAAACAGTGGGAACTGTGGTCTTTGCATAGGCCACTCCAGTCATTCCAACTAAAATAAGCACTTGATATTTACTTAAAGTGCTATAATATCACTGCGTCTGGCCACAGCCAACCGCTTTGAGAAAGAATCTGGTAATTACAGTGAAGGACAAACAAAGCTTCTCCAGAGGACATACAATTATTGTTATGGGCACTATAATAGTAATATTGTTGTAAGAGAAGAAAAAGGTTTAAACTTTGTGTGGATGTGTGTCAACAGAACATGGAGACGGTTATCCTTTTGATGGCAAAGACGGTCTCCTGGCTCATGCCTTTGCCCCAGGACCAGGAATTGGGGGTGATTCCCATTTTGATGATGACGAGCAGTGGACCTTAGGAGAGGGCCAAGGTAAATGAGCATTGATTCCATACTCTACACTATGAAAAGTACATGGGAAAAATATAGTTTTTTATACTGGTAAAAGCACTAAATGGTCCCAGCATATTTCGACTTTTTAAAGTTTTTTTAAATGTTTTTCAGAAGTCCCTCGGTTGGTTTAGATGCCATTAAGGGTGTTTTGAGTTTGTGATCCTGAATGTTATCCCCCTGAATTCCATGTTTGTGGATCTTTTATGATACCCTGACTGAATGTTCAATGCATTTCCAGTGTAGGGTCCAAAACTGAGCTGCTTCCGTAGATTATGAGAGGATCCTCCTACCACAGTAGTGATTGAGGGATGCAGATCATCTTTGTACTTTTGAGCTTGAAGTGGACGTTTAACATATTTTGATGGTTTACTACATGTTTTACTGAAAAACCACAGTAGGTAACTTTGATAACAATTTCTTATTTGCATATTTGTTAAAACTATCTCTATGTCATGACAGGAGAAAATGAGACAGGTAATCTGTAAAAAATCTAACTCCTCCAGCAGTTGCAGCAATACAACACTCACACTAAGAACCAGCCAATGAGATCCAAGAGGAGTATCTTAGCAGTGTTAATCATGCTTTTGCAGGCGCTGCTCACACCCTGCCACAGCTGTGCTAATGTCAACATAATGTTACAGGAAAACTAATAATTTATCAAGTTTTTGGCAGACTCCACTGTGTGGGAGGAATTGTGGAGGGTGGGTTATAGCACAGAAGAGAGAAGGGGGAGGAACCTGTGAGGTCATTTGCTAAAAACTGCAGCTTTTTAGCAAATGATAACAGTTTATAAGATAAACAGTTGATTTAAAAAAAAAAATGTTTCAATGCATAAATTATCCAGATCTAAAATGACAATCAAAAACTAGAATCAAAGATTTATAATGTTTGCAGTCACTTTATGGAAATGTGTTTCTGTAGCAAATTGTAAATTAGACTTTCTATGGTAAACTTCTGTAACAATTTGTGTTTGGAAAAAGATGACAGAAACCTAAGGAATCTGGTGCTCCACTGTCGTAACTTCAGTTTATTTCACAGTGGTTAAACTTTGAAACCGACAATCATTGCTGCCAGAGAAGTTAAACACAGTCACACACTTCTCTGGGCTTGTGATTGCTTTAGTTTGTATTTCAGAACTTAAACACTGTAAAACTTTATGAAATGATCTGAAAATCTGATAAAAAAAAAGACTTCTCATTTTCTTGCCCGAAATAGCTAAAATCAAATGTTGGTCCCTTATTTTCTCCCAGCCCATTTCATTCATGTATTTCAAGTGTAAAGCAGTTGCGTTAACAACAGCACTAAATACTTTTGTTATTAAGTTTATTGCTGATGGAAAATATGAGCTGCAGTGTAATTTAAACTAGGAGACAACTGAAATAACATGCTGAGAACATTCAGCTAATTTGACTTAACCCTGTAGCGGATGCACATTTTGGTGTATAGTTACTCAGTCTGCATACAGAAAAAAAGTATTATTGTTCTTTTAATTGCTGTAGTATATTAGGTGATATTTTTAAATTGGAAAGGCAGCTTAACCTACTTTGTCTTGATTTTTTTAATCTTTGTCTGAAGTTACTGGCACTCAGTATATGAAGTTGAAGCCATCTGGAGGCTGATTAGAAAAAATAAACTTTTGGAATTACACTACATGACCCAGATAGATTTGCTCCAAGTTTTATTCATTAATAAATTAATTTTGTGTTGATCTCCTGATTTACAAAAAGTCTACATTTTAAATGTGCTTTTTCTTTCTTGATGTTTCATTGTAATCACCTCTTCCAAGCTGTTTAAATATTATTTGTGTCAACTACTTCTAGTATTGCTGTTAAATCATTTTATTATTGCTTTCTGCATTTACTTGTAAACAAATTTAAGATTTTTAAGACACTGACATTCATCTATCACTTTACAGGTAATTAATGTTTTGTGAATAAGCATCTAGAGTTAATGCGTCATCAACAAGACAACTTTTGTTTCCACAGTGGTGAAAGTGAAGTTTGGCAATGCTGATGGAGAGTTCTGCAAATTCCCCTTCCTGTTCATGGGGACCGAGTACAACAGCTGTACATCTCAGGGTCGAGATGATGGATTCCTGTGGTGCTCCACCACCTACAACTTTGATGAAGAGGGCAAATATGGCTTCTGCCCTCACGAGCGTAAGCTTGTCACACACTTCTCAAATTTGGAAGTCAGAAAGGCTTGGCAGAGTCTCCTGGCAAATGTCGGCTTAAATTCTCCGAACAATCAATTACTTTCTGGCCTCTTTATCTCAGGAACACCAATGCTGTATTCCAGCTTCATTTCAGACTTTATAACAGTATTATACAATTATTTCTACACTCAAAAACCCTTCTGTGTTTTTGGACAGGAAGAAAGTAGGTTGAACTGCATGCCAGGAAAGCATGTTGTTTCCTTCCTTTGGAGTGAATTATGGAAGATTTCTTTTCCATGTTCAGAACACTGGGCTTTACTAACCACTTTGTTTATCTCTGGTGTTCATGGTAAAAGCATCAATGCATACCTGGTCCAAGCATCTACCAAAGTACATGTGTACTAAGATGTTTCAGATAATGTGAACATGTTTGAGAATTGTTTTTACAAGAGCTGCTTATTCTGTTAAGCTCTGGCTAATATTGATGTGGAAAATGTTTGCTTTTTGTCTTTTCTCTGACTCTTTGTCTTACATCATCACTCATGACATTTTATGCTGACGTTTCCATCTTGTTGTCACTAAAAGTTACAGTGCGTCATGTCTTTATAGCATTGCACATGCTTGTTTTTCTGCTTTTACAGTACTTTTCACCCTTGGTGGTAACGGAGAGGGCGCGCCTTGTAAATTCCCCTTCAGCTTTCAGGGAGAAAGCTACGACAGCTGCACCACGCAGGGCAGGGATGATGGATACCGCTGGTGTGCCACCACTGAGGACTACGACCGTGACAAATCCTATGGCTTCTGCCCTGAAACTGGTAGGTGTTTTCATCTGCTCCCTGAAATGCGCACCCTACGTCACCCCGATATTGAATAAGCTAACATTTTATAAGACTTTATAGGAAGCGATAACAATCACATATATTTGTATACTGTTTTGAAGTCCCCACTTTGAGATTGTTAAAGTAGATGTAGTTCAAGTTTCTTGTGTGTTTATCCCTATTGTGCAATGCTTTTCCATTGTTGCTGGCAGGAATTCTTCAACTGGGGCTTTTCAGCCTTGCTGTGGTTAGCTTAATTACCGTTAAACTATTTTAATGTGCACTGCATTTCTTTCCAGTCAGTCAGTAAGATGTGTTTTGGGTTTAGATGGAGAAGTAGGTGAGGAGTTGGAAACGAATAACAATAAGGACAAAAGTGTCAAACAGAAAATGTTACCTCGAAAACACATCAATTCTGGTTGTGCTTTCTGACTCTGTTCCTGCTGTGGGTCAGCTAATATTTGTGTTGTGCTGGTGAATTTTCACTTCATCCACACTTGTTTCAAAGTACAGCCCGTAAAGCCTAACTTTGCTTGAAAAAAAACATTTTGGCATTTGAAACGGTCTAAACTTTACTGCACACAAACCTCTAAAATAACCTACTGTGGTTTTCAGCAATGTCAACAGTGGGAGGAAATGCAGAGGGAAGCCCCTGTGTCTTTCCTTTCACCTTTCTTGGAGACAGCTATGACTCCTGCACTTCTTCTGGACGCAGTGATGGGAAAATGTGGTGTGCCACCACTAAGAACTACGATGATGACCGGAAATGGGGTTTCTGTCCTGACCAAGGTGCGATAGCTTTGAGACTTACAGACCGATGTTGGTGTATTTTTGAGAAATCACCCAAGTATAAAGACCACATATAAAAATAGAATTACTTATATTTTATTTTGCTTTAAGTTACACAAAACCAACACGCTGCATAAATGTAGACTACTAAAAGGAAACTGTGGAAATTCCAGTCATAAACCTTCCTCATTTAACTTGAAACCAAATAAAAAAATAACTCGCAATACCATTTGATTGGATTGTTTTCAGGCTACAGCTTGTTCCTGGTGGCGGCCCATGAGTTTGGTCACGCCCTTGGTTTGGAGCATTCTCAGGACCCAGGAGCTCTGATGGCTCCTGTCTATACGTTTACGAAAGACTTCAGACTTTCTCACGATGACATCCAAGGCATCCAAGAGCTCTATGGTGAGAAGAAATGTCATACCATTTTCTAAAAAGCATGACTATCTTAACTGGGAAGCGGAGAAGAATGAGGGTAAAATTTCCTGGTATATGTGATAACAGGTGTGCCAACCGACAAGCCTTTGCCTCCAACCCAGGGTCCTGTCACTCCAATGGACATTTGTAAAGATCCAGTTATCTTTGATGCTGTTGCACAAATCAGAGGAGAGACGTTTTTCTTCAAAGACAGGTAATGGCTTAAAATATAACATGCTGTATTAAGAGGGCTTTAGCATGTGTGCATGCAAATGAGGAAGCAGCGTCTATAACATTTTCATTTATAGACGTTGTTGGTGTTTAGATTAATGTTGGGGATATTTATGCAAATTTGATATATATATATATATATATATATATATATATATATTGCAACTAAGATGTTGCAGGTTGATCAGGATTGGTTTCCACTTTGTCTTGGTTGGTTTGGTTTTTGGGTTCTGGGTTTTCGGTGTTTCTTTTCTGCCAGCACTCAATCTCTTGGCAGCTTCTGGTATTACATGCCAAATAAAAACATCACATGGGCTTTTCGGTAGATGGTGAACAAATCACATTTCCACAGCAAATAGAAAAATAGCATTCTACTATTTATTTATTTTTTTTTACCTCATTGCTTTTAACTCAGGAAGAGATGAAAAATTTACATTTTGATAATACACTATCTCCAGCTATATTTTAATGCATTTTTACAATTTATAGGTAACAAATTATAAAATTTAAAACAATTCTAAATATCTAACATTAACAGTAAAAGTATGACGGAGATACTTACGCACAGTGATACTCATTCAGACATGTTTTGAACATAACACAGGTTCGTATTAACATTCCTACATTTTGTTTTAGAGTCAGCATGACATTAGTGTGGGTTGAGGGAACTTTGTGGACTAAATGTAAGAGTCTAGCAAGGGTGTTTTTAAGGTAGTTGGAGGACAGAGTTAAAAGTCTGCAAAGATTAGATTTGGGTGTTCATGGTCTTTATCAATAGCTGTTCTTGCAAGAATGGCAACCTTGGTGTACACCAAACCCCATCACAGGATATTTTGTGAAACAAATAACTTCCTTAAATATCCCTGTCTGGGTACCTAAAGATTGCAGCCTGATAGTCCAGCTACAAGATAAGAAATCAAGGGGTGACTAGTGTCTCACACCACATGTGTTGTGTGTGGTTGACAGGAAACGGAGCCTGATCTCCCAGTTCTTAAATACAAGCAGTAGACTCCTACTCAACATACGGGCATGCCAAGTCTGCACTGATTAGAAAAACAGCACTGAAATGATCAAAACTCACTAGATATGTGAGCTTTGGTTTCAGAGAAACAATCAGATTGAAATGATATATCGATATCCTGTGGTGAGCGTGAAAGTAAAACTTAGCAGAAAGGGAAAAACAAGCTAATTCCCTTTCCCGTACAGAGGCAAACAAATAATTCATTAGTCACCAACACAGTCTGCAATCCTGTCTTCCACCAGCGCTGATGCATCTTATTGCTTTGCAAAGTTCACCAAGCAGAGCATTTGTATATGAGCAGCTGTTTGCTTTTGCCTTATTTTAATGGGAATGTGTAGGAAATATGAAGGTTTATGTTGCACAGCTGTCAACATTTGGTTAATGGGTAGAAAGACAGACTTTGTCAGCAGAGGATCTCTTGTTTCTTTCAGTTTCTGACCCGTGAGTTAGAAACCACATACCTTACAGATCCTACTTTATTGCCAAAAAAAAGAGAAACTTTTCATTTCACCGTGGGTCTTATCCTCACATTTAAAGTGAGCACCAGAGCAGCACAGAAGCTCAAAGAGTGCTCTTCGGACCATGAAACTTTGGCTAGGTTGTTTGAAATCAAGCTGAGTTGAAACCTAAATCCATTCAAAGCTTTAGATGGCTGAAGATTTAAGCAGTGGAAGAAAGGCAAGCGTCTGGAGTTCAGTATGTGAGAGTTACTTACTTTCTTGCTGAATATTTGGGCAGGCAAGGACATTTTGTTTTGTTGAATCACACAGCAGGCGTAATGTTTTAGCCCCACTCTGTTATGTGAATGTTGTTTTTGTGTTAGAATGTGATCATCCACCAAAAGACCTAAATTTGAGGAGGTGAATGTGTGTGAGAGAAAACAATAAGCTGTCTCAAACCAGTCTCACCTAATGAGATGCCTTGAAGTTGTTTGTGTTTTATAGAGTCTTAAGCCCTATTCGCAGGGAATTAGTTTTACCTGGGGACCACATGCTATTTGTAATAATTGCAGAGGTTGTCTGGGTTCTTAAGCTTGTGCAAATTGGCCATGTCAGTAATTTGTAAAGTAAAAATTCTCTTGGAAATTGCTTACTATATTTTGCTGAACTCCAAGGTCCTGGGCGAATAGGCATCGCTGTAATTTGGACGGAAATGGGCGGGATCCAACACATAATTGGGTGTTTTTTGTTTTTTTTTGTTTCCTGGGCAAATTTTTATTTGCTTTTGGGAAAAAAATGGAGGCTGCTTTGGAGTGTATTGAAAACCTTTTGGGTCCTGAATCAGAAAAACCCTATAGATCAGCAAAGTGCAACACTAAACAGGAACGGCTGAAGAGTTGGAGCAGAATCAGATGCAAACGGTGGTTTGCATCATGAGCCACCATAAGAATCCTTTTCTTCTGTTAGTAGCCTTCTGTTTTACAGCTTGCTAGCTCTTGCAGTAACACAGCACTGAGCTGTGGCCACAACCTGAAAAGTTGTTCTAACATCAACTCACATCATTCCTCAAGGCGCGTTATCATCATATCCGGGAGATGTCCGTAAATTTCAGCAAAATCTCAGGATCCTCTACCAATGCGCCACATAAAAAGCAGACATTGGGGAGAAATTCATTTATTACATGGGGTTCCCAGATAATGCTTACACCTTGTGAATAGGCCTTTAGTACAAGCAAAATTCTGTAGCTTTAAAAAGCGACTGACGCTGACATGTCTGTAGTACTATAGCTCTGTTGACTCTTGGATTGTAAAACTGGAGTCTGTCGTTATGCTGAATCAGCGCCTGTGTGATGTCCCACAAATCTTAACAAAGTGCAGTGAGTAATGCTCCCAGCACTCCCCTGAGGTCAGCATAAAACTGTCTGGAGACTTAAGGAAAACACTATTATAAACTCTGTTGCATAGAAACAGTTTGAGAAACATACTGATTAGAATCCCTACCAGTAACATCTGCTCATGCACTTGGGATACAAGCATTCGTGACTGGTTTCAGGATGAAAAGTCTGACATTTCTGTTCTACTTTATTAATAACACTAATGGTTCTGCTGTGACTGACAGACTTAGAAAACATTTCACAAGGGTAAGAGCAACGTGGACAAATATCAGCTGAAGAACTTCTGATCTACAGAAGTTCATATTGTGCATTGTTAGAGGATTTTCTTAGCCATTAATACAACTAGCCTGTTGCAAAGACATTAGTATTTAAAGGCTGTGCTCCAAGCTTGCTGCACCAATAATTATTGGGCTCTGAGGTATTTGAGAACTCTAAATTATAAAGCTACCATAGCATTATTTTCTGTCTGTAATATGCACAGGTATTACTGTGAAACGTCGTGATGCATCCATAAAACCATGGTCATTGTCTGTTAAATTTGCCTATTGAATTTAAAAAAATGTTTACACCAAAGAATTTGTTTTTGTCATAGTCCTAATGCCCAAATCATACCATTGTATAACTGTCCTGCATTTTAGAGGCACAAGAACATGCACTGCTTTAGGTTAACCCTCCAGCAGAGCCTGTTGTGAGAATGTAAGTGATGCAAAACAAATAACAGTCCATACTGTACCAAACTGAAAGAGAATATAGAAATGTAGCTTAAAGGGGTGTTGTAGAGAACTCTCTCTGTTAGCTTGTCAACTTTGCATTTTATTGAAAAGGAAGCCAAAGTAAATTTTGACAGATCCATAAAACTTCTGCTATGTCCATCTTCACTTCAAAATGATCTGGCTAATTTTTGCTATTGGCAACATTTTTTTTTTCCATTTAGAAAATAGGTCAGTGGAAAAGAGTTCGGGGAGCTGCTGCTGTTATTTTGCAGCTGCATATTGGAAATCCAGGCAAGATGGGTCTTGTTCTGCTGGCGTCTGCAGCCTCAGTTCTAATGAGAACCAGATGCTCATGAATCAGGCCATTGTAGCTGGCTGGCCCAGTGAAACACTTGCACTAAACTGCAGAACTCAAAGTACACATGCTCTTCCCCCACCTTCAGATCAACCCCTCTCCGTGTCAGTTTGCCTATCAGGCTAATTTCTTTCCCTGGCTCGTCCGTTGCACGATCACTCACTTGTTCTCTTTCTGCCAGGTTCCTGTTCAGGTCAGTGAACTTCAGGAGCAAACCCAGTGGCCCTATGCTAGTGGCCACCTACTGGCCTGACCTCCCTGCGAAGATAGACGCTGCCTATGAAAACCCAGTGGAGGAGAAAACGGTCTTCTTCTCAGGTTTGCTGGAAAACAAAAGATATTTAAGAAACAATCAATCTGGATCATACCGAATCTTAATCTCTGATCCTTATGAGCAGATTTTCTGTGACGAGATTCTTTTTTTGCATGTTTTCTTAATGCTTTGCCACTGTTTTCCACTTGATCACCAAATTCTGAAGCCAAGGAGTTGCAGGAATGTTGGCTGAGTACTTGTTTGTGGTGTACTTTTAAGATATTCCACCATAGTCATTAGTGGTTTTAGAAACATTCTCAGCATTACATTAATATGAAAATATCCCAGAAAATTGGGAAGAGTTGCAAAAACTATTATCTAGCCTTGAAGACGTTGACTTTATTTAAGAATAGTTGTCCAATAATTTCATTAAATGTTCGTTTAGATTAAAAAAGAAGTGCTAGATTGAAATGTTTTGCTCATAAGATCAACATAAAGCTATATCTTCTGTTGGTAAAACTCAATGACAAACTGTGTATGACAACTTCTTCCATTTGTCTGTTTCCTTTGATCCCAGGTGATGAGATGTGGGTTTACAAAGCCGATGAGCTGGAAAGAGGTTACCCGAAGAGGCTCTCCAGCCTTGGCCTCCCCACAGATGTGCAGCAAATTGATGCTGCCTTCAACTTCAGGAAGAACAGGAAGACTTACTTATTTTCTACAGACAAATTCTGGAGGTGAGGACAGGGACATGTTATTCAGCTATTTGCAATGCTGCAAAACAATTCCTACCTGTTAAGTTAACAATACCCCTGATATCATAACCTTTTAAAGCAGTACTAGTGCTGCATCTGGATTAGGTTTGTGTTTTGGTAAGACCTAAACTACACTGTAAACCACCCCACATCTGCTAGTGCTTACATAGCATGGAAATTTGGAGTGTTGGCTCACTGTTTTATCAGCAGTCTCAAAGGAAAATGTGACCGTATGCTTATTATGCCCTTCCAAAAGGATGCTTTTTAATTTCTGACTTCTATGTTTTTTTGTTTTTTTTTTACAGATTTGATGAAAGTAGTCAGGCAATGGACCCTGGCTTCCCCAAGCTTATTGCTGAATCTTGGAATGGCATTCCTGATGACATTGACTCTGCTTTCAGTCTGAACGGCATTGGTAAAATTACATTTTTAAGTCATATTAAATACATGCAAATCTCTGTGTGGCAGTTTTGTTTTCTGGTTTGGTATTTCTGGCAGGATATAGACACACCTGTCCTTAATGAAAAACTACTTTTGAAATCAAATGTTTTAACAAACAGTATGCAGCTCGGAGCCTCGCTTAGCTGTAAGCTACTGCTAAGTTAGAAACTTTGCAAAGTGAAGCAGTGCCTTCTGAATTAGCATGTTAGCCTGTTTATTATTACTGTTCTGCTGATATTGCCCTGCTTTAATGTTAATCATGTTTTTTACATTTGCTACTCCTCTGGTGTAAAACTCAAGTATTTGTCTCTATTTGTCACACTGTTCCTCTAGTCATATAAATAAAGAAGAAGCTCTGTCCAAATAAAGCATTTCCTGCAGTCAAAACAAAATTGTTGCACTGCCGTGTATGGCTGGCCATTCTAGAAAATTTTCCCCTTTTGGTTTATCAACATCTATGATGCATTGCTTGTACCAAAGTGACACTACTAGTTGTGGTAACGTTTGATTCAAACTAACCAGAGATTTACAGTCATGTCACTTTACATCATCAAACGAAGAAGGCTGTTCTTTAGGGTTTGGACATCAACCAAAAACTAATTTATCAGTTCAACCAAAAGCTTCAACATCTGCCTACCTGGTTGTTCTATTTGTGAATCTTTTTCAGGGTCATTAATATGACTATCTCTATGTTGTTTACATAGTAAACAGTGTTAGTACGTTAGTAATATAGCAGTTTGTTGAGAACTTCTGTAACCTCATAATAGTGTGGAAAAGACCTATTTTCTACAAAGCAAGCCACAATCCTCCGATAACACTTACATGGTCATATATAGAACATTAATTGACATGTAGACTACAGATCCTTGGACACTCAAATGGTTGTCAACTTGTGGGCAGCTTTTTAAAATAGATGTTAACTTTTCGAAACCTGAAGGCACCTTAAACATCAGTGCAACAACTTTAGTAGATTTTTTTCTTTTATTTTCTTGTATGACATATGGCGCTATTTTGGCTTAAATTTGTTGATCTTCCTTTTTTATGTTGATCTGGACCAGGACTTTGTTTCGTTTGAAGCTCCATTCAGAAGTTGGCAACCGTGTTTTAAAGGAACAGATTGCAGAAATCTTCAAGGATGCATAAAAGCAGCAGACCTGAAGTCAAGCTGTGATCTGTTTATTATTATGGAAGACAGAGGAGATGCTTTAAGTTGTTCACTCTGTGATTTGCAATGGTTTTTGATCACATTGTCTTCAGTGTATGCTATTAAAACCAGACGAAAACAGACATTTAGATAGATTGCTTAAAAAGACATAACCATTTATCTCACTTTGATATTAAGTCAGACTGAGCTTTTCCTCTTTTAAATCAGAGAGGAATACTACACATATTTCTGTTTGCTAAATGCCTAAGTGATAGAGTTTTTAGGGAGTTTTTGAAAAAAATAATTTACATTCTAAAGATGACTTGCATGTCCTTTGTTGTATGCTTTACCAAATAGTTTTAGTATCTTTCCACAAGCATCTCATTATAGTTTGAGGAATTTTGACCAATTCTTCTTCACAGAACTGCCATATCTGAGTCAGATTTGTAGGCTTACCTGGTTTTCAAACACATGTTCAGCTCTGGTAATGAAACCTTATTTGTTCTGAGCTTATGATGGCCACTTCAAACATTGTCTTTGTTTTCCTAAAACCAATTTACAACTACATTTGCTGGTATTCTTAAGCTACTGTCCATTTGACAGCCCAATTTTTGCCCAAGTGTCAACTTCCTTGGGCAACTTCCCTGATTTCGTGAGATGTTGCTTTAATATTTCCACATAGTGTTCATTATGACATGCATTTTGTTAAGTCCCATCAGTTATTTCCACAGCAAGACACAGAGTACAATGCTGCCACCTCTAGACTTGGCATGGTATTGACACTTGTGTATAATTATTTGAAAATGTGGCGCCTTTAGGATCTTGATAGGGCTAATTAGATAAGACGTGTTTAGACAGCAGATATCTATTATCAACTCTACTTAAAGGGGAATTTTCAGAAATGCGAGGAAACGTTTTCCTTACAGTCAGCTCTGTGTCCACGGGGTTTTGGAGGCTATGCAAATTATTTTCCTGGAGTTTTCCATTACTGGTCTGCTACCATGCACACAAGCATCACATACACACATTTATATAAGGCAAGTCTGTAACCGTCGACAGAGGTGCTTCTGTGCACCACTTAACATATTTCACAGGGGATGTTTCTCAAATTTTCACTTCAACTGAGATGGATTGGGTATTTTTTTCATAATTCATTCACAGTTGAAAAAGATTACTCTATTTTAATAATTTTATAGACCCATAAATATGTTACAGTATTCATTCAGATTTCCACTTGGTCAGCACAAGCAGTTTAAAATAAAACTTCATAATGTTTAAACCCTGAAACATGAATGTGAATGTTATGCTCGTCTCTTTGCAGATTACAGCTACTTCTTCAAAGGAAGCCACTATTTTAAAGTTGAAGACAGCAGTTTGAAGATCATCAAGTTGGGAGAAATCACAAAGGACTGGCTTGGTTGCTGAACATCGACCAAAATGTTTCACAGCAGGTGACGATGGTCTTATGAGGCCATCAGTGTTAATCACACACAACTTGAGGTTGTTGCAGTGCACACTGTTACAACTTTTTATCCTTGGCCACTCTGCAAGCTTCTATGGGACACATGTACCTCCAGCCTGTATAACCGATCTCAGCTGGTAGAATGGCATTTCAAGGCCTTTTACACAGGCTAAATGTATGCACCTGGCAAATTGCTTTATTTCTGTGTGATTTTTCTAATTGTATGACTGATGCACATTTAAAAAAAAAAAAAAAATGAACCCCTTTTTTTATTTTTTTTATTTTATTTTATTTTATTTTTTTGAGGAAGACCGACATCAGGTATGTCTACATTGCATCGCAGTGTTATACAGTGCCAAGAGATACTGGCTATTTTTTTTGTGTGCAAATTTTGATTCTAAAAATTCTGTTTTACGCCATATGAATAGATACTGGCCAGGCATTACTTCTGTATCCAGTGTAAAAAGCACAGCTTTACATAAATGTATCAGTTGTATTAATTTTCTCCATGTGCAAAAAATGTACACGCACAATGTGACCGAGAATGGTGCTTTCAGAATTTGCTTCTTACATTTAGTCCTGCATATATAGTGAATATTCTACACATTGTTATTTTGTGTGATGGGAGTACTTAGTACAATCTGGATGTTAGAAAGTAGCATTCAAAGACTTGTTATTCTTTGTATGGTTAGCACTTTGTATATTACATACAGGGGAACTGCACAAAAGAGAGACCAGAACTTGTTGGGATCTCTCTGTTGCGGTTCTCTTATGGTGCAGACAGATTTATTTGGTAGAAAAGGCACAGGTTGCCTAGATGCTATATAGGTTTGCACCATGATGGACCAATAACAAGAACATTGCAGAAGTTTTGTCTACTTGTAGTTTTATATTAAGATTCTTTGTTAGGTTTTAACAACATAGTCATTATATCTTGTATTTTGTTTTTTCTAAAGCTTGTGCACTTTGTCACTGTCATCAATAAATGTGGTTATTTTAACTCTATATATTTTATAGGAATATATAGACATAGTTGGGATTCATCACCTTCAATCTTAGAAATTCAGCAACAAAGAAGCTGCTAGAAGTACAACCAGAGATATTTGCACACTGCTAAGGATCTTGTTCATAATCTTTATCCCATTAAGGTTTTTCATCAAACAATAAGCACATTTTGAATGTGCACCAAAAGGAAAATCTGAGAGATAAAATCATGCTTGTTATCTTAAAGAGCCTTTGGCAAAACAGAAGATGGACTGCTTTATATAAAATAATGTGAAAGGTTTCTGGCTTGAGCCACAAAATGGGTCCTATTTTGTGAAAAATAGGGATGAAATTAGAATAGGTGGTTCTTTTTGGGAAAATAATAACCACATCTACATATTAATGGTATTTGGATATAAAATGGTGAAGTTAGCCCTCTCTTCAAAAAAGGAAAAATGACAAAAAAAAAGAGTAAAGCACAGCAATCTTGATGTTTAAAAGCTACATTTTGTTTGCCACCATGCATTAAAAAATGAACATAAATCCTATTTTGTTTCCTGGGAAAGAAAATATTTTAAATATTTGACTGAAAACATATTAATTTGACCTGTTTTGCAGATGGTGCTTAAAGTCTAGCCACAAAAGTAAGTCACTAAATCTTGCTCACAAATGCAACTGGTGGTACCGTCAGCCTGTAATAATTCTCAGAAAACTTTAAATATTTTGGCCATTACTTATGTCTTTACTATTTTTACTGTTTCCAATTCACCTATTAAACCAAACAATTTGTTTATTTGTAAGTATTTATTTATAGTACTCACGTGGTTAAAACTTAGTGGTTAAAACTCATCCAACTTTAAAGAGTATACAAACACAAACGGCTTTCCATAAACGGTCAACGGAAGACTTTCATGAACTTTAGTGTGAAATTGCGCCATCTTGTGGAAATATGTAGGGACACATTTACCTACATGTATTAATCTCACATACACCATAGATCAGTGCTGTGGCCTTAAGCCTGTTTGTGACATAAATTTCATTAGAGTTGAAATTGAGCGGGAGAGCAGATACCGTTTTAAGGTAAAGCAGAATAATTAAAAAAAAAAAACCATGAGTGCAAAAACTATTCAGTGGCAGCGGTTTCAATCACTTTGGAGGTGGAGCTTCGCGGTTGTCAGACCCTGTAGGTCTGTGGAAGTGTAAGTTGCGCCGGTCGCATGATGCGGGAAGAAAAGAGAACAAACCCCAGTTAAAGGAAGTGCGATGATAACACAACATAACGGCGCAGTGACTGCCTGCTTTACCGAAGACTGTACACGATGCCGCAACAGCGAGTGTTCGCCCTGCCGAGACAACAATCTCTGCTCCTTCCTGCGGTCATCAACCCGTTCGTTCAAGACACCAACATATCCAAGGCTACAGTAATAAAAGTGAGTATACGGCGGTTGTTGTAGTGCTCTTATTAAAGCAAGCTCTGAAGTTATAGCTGATTTTGCAACGCAACGCTCACGTTGTGTTTCAGATGTGTGAAAGCACGCACAGAAAGACACACACGGGCTACTGTGTAACCAGGGCCTTTAATCGCCTTTGATAATCTGCTTGCAGCACCAACAATGACGGTGATTGTGAACTTTCACGAGCACTCGGTCTACGGGAATTTATTCAATTGAACGTGTGCTTGTCAGGTGTTCGTTCTGTAGCTGTATTGATTCTTGTGTGTTTATGATTCCCACTCTCCTCTTCGTGCAGTGCGTCCTGTTGGGAATTTTCCTGGTGCCTCTTCGGGTCATCCTCATGTCTCTGGTTCTGACGTTGACCTGGCCTGTGGCTTTTATAATCACCTTCAAACAACCTTTAAAAGGAGCAGTGGAACCAATGACAGGCTGGAGACGGTAACTATGGATGCAACATATCCTGCTTCAATTTAGCCCTCAATTGAGGTGGTCCTGCTTCGAGTGACCCCAACCATGACACTCTTTCCATATAGCTTAGAGGAAAAGGACGAAAAAAAGAGCCATGACAAAGCGGATGTTGGATGATGTACATAAACAGTTACCCGGTTAGCATTGAACATTCAGACAACGTCCTCTTAACGTTTTATGAACGTTGGGCGAACGTTGAGTGCAAGTGTCGATTAGACGTTTGCAGACAACGTTCGCCAAGCGTCAAGATGAACTCCATTAGTGGTACTGAAGACTACGTAGGAAAAAGTAATGGTATGCACATGAGAGACATCAGTAAATAATTAATTAGAAAAAAAAAACTAACAAATGGAATGGCATTAATTTTCACACATAGGATTTAATTAGACATTCAAAATCAAAATTAAAAATAAATAAAAAAATCAAGGTAAACATCAGCATTTAAAACATCCAATGCTTAGAAAATCACCTTGCAGTCAGAGGTATGGCGTACTTCAGTTTAAGTTTAAGTACTTCAGTATATTTCTACTTATACATCCTCAATTGTCATTGCCAGTATAATGCTTCATAATATGACATATTGATTATTACAGTTTTGTTAAATTTAACGTTTATTTATCATTCCAGTAATTTGAAATAGACTGAAGCTTTTATAGATGGATTGAATAAACATGCATTAAGTTAGTATTAGTTTTGGAGTTTGTTTTACACAAAAATGTTAAACTTTTTTTTTTAATCATTCTGCTCTTTAATTCAATTCTGTTTGTTTTATTTATATAGCACAATATATTCCCAACAAATGGCATACCATAATCTCTTTAAAACAGACAAATATTCAAAACATCTAATAAAATTAGTCTGTCACGTTGCAATCATGTAGACAGAGTCTTGTTCTAAAGATATAAATTCAAAGTTATAATGATATACAGCAGATTCAGAATCGAATGCTTGTTGGTAAAACGTTATCAAATGAAACCCACCTTAATGCATTGAGTCATTGACTTTACAGCAATCTCTGCTAGTGCGTAACATGCATTGACAGTGGAAAGGAACAACTCTGTTGTAACCTGAAGAAACTTTAACAGAATCTCTCTCATAAGAGATCGCTGCGATCGACTGGGCTTTGAGAGGACGGAGCAGACACGAAAAAAAAGATAGAAGCTGTTGTACTGGAGTACTTTCCTTGTAGAAGAAAAATTGCACATAGCTAATGCAGATGTATTTCTGTTTGGAGACAACCAAAATTAAGGAGAGAATAATCCGCTGTTAATATCTGGTTTATTAGTGGGGTAATCAGGATAACAGACTGCTTATTGCTTAACAGATGATTGGTGGTGAAAAACACCCTTTTTGTTTTTCACAACCCAACATGTTTCCAGATATCAGAATTTTGTTGTGTCACAAAAATGTAGAGCAGGCTTCTTTGAGCAATCTGACTAGTGGTGTAGGATGGGTAGCACTGCACTACTTTATGCTCTATATAGTCAGAAAAAATCTCTCTGGTTTTGCTTGCACTTTGTCATGCATTCATTTGATAAAAGTGTATGAACGGTGTGACGGAAATGCTTAGCAATTTTGAAACCATAGCTTTTTAATACCTTGGTGCACTTTTATATCTGAAACCAACCACGCTTATGACTGACTAGCTACATATTACTGTTTTGACTCTAAAACCCATTTAAAAATAGAAACCAAATACAGAACCTGGAAAAAAAAAACATATGTAAAAGGAGCAGACGTCAACCTTGATATGATCTTGTTTATTTGATTCTGATCAGGGTTGTGTGGATTAACATTTGTATATGCAAATTCATCCACCTGCTGCCCTACAGGTAAACAGTTATATGACCAACTATTTTTAATAATGTCATCATTTTTTTCTGTTCGTCATAACTGGGGTGTTCCCCTAGAAAAACACTCTTTGTTTTTCACAACCCAAAATGTTTCCAGACGTTTTGCCCTGGCAAAAAACATTTTGTATAAAATGAAACTAAAAACATGGCAAGTTATAATATTATTAAATAAAACTTTTGAATTGACATATACCAAGTATTTTGCATAAGATTTCAAGTCATACTTAGGAAAATATAGACCATCAGTGATTCCCAACCCACTGGTTTTTCACCAGTGATGCTTCAGTGGGCAGATAGGAAATTGGCAACTTACCAAAATGTACCACTGAAGAAATAACTTAAAACTACAGAAAGTCTTTGGTTTCACCATGAGAGAATTTACTTAAAACAAGTAGAAGTAGCTTTTACAGATTCATAAAATGGACTCAGCAAAAGTCTGCATTTTCTCAAAATAATAGCAGCTGACATGGCTTAAGGATTGGTGCATGCGCTTCTGC